TGTGGCCCCCACCCGCCGCCCAGGGGTGGGGGCCGGGGGGGAGGACAGTAGGTCCCCCTGCCCTCATTATCTTTGTGGCCCCCACCCACCGCCCAGGGGTGGGGGCCGGGGGGGAGGACAGTAGGTCCCCCCCCCCTCATTAGTCTTTATGGCCCCCACCCGCCACGCAGGGGTGGGGGCCGGGGGGGCATTAGGTCCCCCCTCATTATCAATATGGCCCCCACCCGCCGCGCAGGGGTGGGGGCGGGGGGGACAATAGGTCCCCCCCTTATTTTTCATTTTAGGGCCCCCACCCACCGCTCAGGGGTGGGGGCCAGGGGGGGACAATAGGTCCCCCCTTATTGGTATTTTTAGGGCCCCCACCCACCGCTCAGGGGTGGGGGCCAGGGGGGGACAATAGGTCCCCCCCATTAGTATTTAGGGCCCCCACCAGGCTGCTCACTGTTTAATAGACATGCCCCTACTCGCGGTATTGCGAGTAGGGGCACAATTTACTAATACTAAGTAATTTTTACATAGTATTAGTAAATTAATAGGGGGCGGACCGAACATCTATGTTCGCCAGGAACTATTCGCCAGCGAACCGTTCGGGACATCACTAATTGTGAGATAAAGAACAGCTTTTTTAAAAAACGAATAGTCTGTGAACACAAAATGACCTTGCGCTGATAATTTACTTGCAGGAAAAAAAAAAAAAAACCCAATCCCCCCCACCCCCCTCAAAAAAAACCTTTTCTTTTTCTTTTTTTCTTTAGTAAATTAATTAAACGTAGTTAGAATCTCACTCAAAGTCCCGATTACTTTGCAAGAAACATGTCGTCCGTAAATACTGAGTAAGTCTATTAAACAGTGACATAGCATTATTACCCTGTGTTTTATGTTGTCACAGCTATAATGTGCAGTATTACAAACTATAAGTGTTGTACAAACTGTGCATTAAAAGCCAGTGATCTAGTGAGCTATAGAACATTTATTTATTTATTCTTTAATGCTCTGACCTTAATCGGCAAAGCAATATTGTAATGGTGTCCATTGCAATCTGCGGTCTTACTTGCTGCTCTCAAAAATTCTGAATATGTTCAGAGATTTCTTGGGCAATAATAAATCCCCCAAAAAACAACAACTTTGCATTTATGCTAAACCTGCCTGTTGTAAACATATTCTGTATATTTCTTGTCATAAGTACTTGTCCTTTAATCTGTTTAACAAATCTGTTTATATTGTGGTGTAAAATAAATACATATATATATATATATATATATATATATATATATATAT